GTGGTTCAAGAAAAGCCTTTTATGTCAAATTTAAATTTATAAAAACCACTACCAACACCACTACTAACGTAGCAAGAGTGAGTAGGGATCGTCCCAAGGGATTATACGTGTTGGAATTTCAACTTCGACTCTAGCGTACCAAATGATTGCAAAAAAGAGTTGGGTTGGTTGATTACTTCTAGAAAAGAATTAATTAAAATGCAATAAAAATAAAACTAAGTAGAGATAGGGATTTAAGAGATGAGAATAGAGGACTTAGGGTGTTGGAATCACCACTAAGCTTGTGTAATTAACCACTTGCTTTCCATTAATGGGGAATACATTGTTGTGAACAAAATTGGTTCGACTAGCAAAGGTGACTCAACAATTGTATAATGTCTAAACAACATGTAAAAGGCTACAATATATCTATTGGAAGAGGAATATATTGTCTAGACAACATGTGAAGAGAACAAAATATCAAATCAAGTCATTAAACCTTTCATTAAGCTCATAGTCCAAATAATTCACAAGGATGACTTAGTTAAACATGTATTGTCTAAACATCATGTGAGAGGCCACAATATATCTATTGGGAGAGATACATATTGTCTAAACACATGTGAAAGATACAATATATCATAACAAGTCATTAATCCTTCATTAAGCTCAAAATTCCATTACACCACAATATTAGAGCATATGCTTCTTGCATTCAAAAACATGGAACATCAAAGAACAAGCATGAATTGTCTCCCCATCTAACACTACACTACTAGCATGAAAATAAACTAAAAGAGAGGCACAATCCATCAAGGAATAAGTATGAACCATTAAGAAACATAACAAGAGCATTCCATTAAGCACTAATGTCTAGCCATCACTAGATTCTCAATTAACCACACATAGACATGCAATTAATATAGAAAAACTAGTGTAGAGATCAATTCCCCAAATAATCACACATAAGACAACATGTAATTAAAATAGAGAATCAATGGAAGAATTAACCCATATGAATCATGTGAGACATAATTCCTAATTTAATCACACATAGACATGTAAATAAACTAGAGAATTAATAGGAAGAATTAGACCATGGAAATCATAGAAATATACCAAAATTCATGAAATTCACAAGGCTGGGACACTAATCACAACAATATATATATAAATCTCCAAAAATAGAAATACAATGGTTTAGATTACACAAGACTTGGGGCTCATCCAAGCCCTAAGTGTAGATCTAGTCAATCATGGAGGAGGTGGATGTAGTCATGGAATCAAGCTCCAAACATGGCTCCATCTTCTTCTTCCTCTTCTTCTTCTTCCTCTTCTTCTTCTTCTTCTTTTTAAGCTCTAGAGATGGAGAGATAGTAGATTTAGAGATGTGTTCTTGAGATGTGCCTCCACTTCTCTCTTTTCTTCTAACCCTAATCTCTAACTTTTCTAGAGAGAGAAAATAAAAATTACAATCTAGAAAATAAAATGATAAAAGCTAAAAATCCTTTTTTTACAAATGGGTTGCTTCCCTTTATATAGAAGGTCTTTTTCTTAGTCACTAAGTCTAGAATATATGCCCAAAAATATCTAATCCAGCAACTTTTTGGTAGGTGAACTTTTGGGCGCGCACGGAAAAAGTGACAGCTTGCTGCCAACATGTCCAGTTCGATCGATCCAACTTATTCGATCGATCCAACTTATTTTTCGATCGATCCAACTTTTCTGATCGATCCAACTTATTTTCGATCGATCCAACTTTTTCTACGATCCATCCAACTTTTTAGCTTTTCAGTATCAGCCTCTTTTTGCTCCAAATCAGCCTCTTTTTGCTCCGGATCATCGCTAAGACTTAGTTTGACTCCAAAAAGGCCTTAAGAACTCATTTTTAGCCCATTTTAACATTATTGACCTGAAATAGGTAAAAACACAAATAAGTACTAAAACGGATAAATAAGATAGATAAAGGTCCTAGAATACTCAAGCTTAAGGGGTTTAAATGTGTACTTTTCAGCTCTCATCATTAGTGATAGTGAGAGTATGGTACTGTACGTTGTGTTAGTATGGCAATGTGGACTTCCATGATGTAACTTGGGCAACGAGAAGTGTTAGACAGTATTGAGTGTTTGATAAAGGGTTTACGGCATAATCACCGAATATTGAGAGTCTCGTTTTGAAGATTTGTGTTCAGAATATGAGGTAGTACATTTTATTGCTTTGGTGACCTATGATTTTATGATTGTTGGGAGATTTATCATTTAGTCATCTTGAGGTTAATAAGTGTAATGATTGTCGTATAGTATGATTGGTAGTCGATGTAGTTTCGTATTAGTTAGTAAGTGTTTGGTTTGTCAGGGATGTGTAGATTAGAGTCGAGATTTATTATGAGATGACGGGATTCTTTATTTAGGTCTAGTGTGTTCCTTAGAGGATGAATTGGGTTGGACGTTGTCATGTTTGATGGTCTGGTGACCATTAAATTCTCAGGTTTTGGAACCTTTTATGACTGTGTAGAGTAGACTAATGTCCGTTTTGAGCCAGGCATAGAATCTAGTTCGTTTTATGTTATGATGAGGCGAGATATGGGTACCTACATAAGGTTTTGGTGGCAGTGGCGTGTGGTTGCCTTGTGACGTCTGGTGTCAAAAACAATAATGTCAATGGGTTCATAATCTTGGAGTTTTATGAGGTATACTTGGGAAGTGGTGGTTGCAAGCCTCTTTCTTTAAGGATGGTAGATTTCGAGGACGAAATCTCTTTAAGGAGGGTAGATTGTAGTGTTTCCGATTTTCGCCATTTTTGAATTTTTCAAAAATTCGTTAATGCAAGGGCATTTTCATCTTTTCACTTCTACGCGCGGGATTATGATTGGGTCCTAGTGCATTTTTCAAATTTTAATTGATGTGAATTATGTAGCATTTGTATAGTGTAATTATGTGTGTGTGTATGTGGTGTATAATTGAAGTAAAAGTAAAAGAGTAAAGAAAAGAAAAATTGAGCGGGGCCCACCACCATCTCTATTATGGGTTAGAGACCACTTTCTTTTTTTCTGGTTTCTCATTTTTTTCTTTTCCCGTAAGTTCTCTCCCTCCCTACTGCTTCTTGCTATTCTTTTTCATTTTGATTTCAAAACTTTGGATCTTGATAACTCACTCAATACTTGTCGGATTTGAGTGCCATTTGAGGCAAAACGAAGCTCGTGTCAAGCTCTACGCATCCATACCACCAATTTCCAATTTTGAGCACCCTTTGGAGTTCAAATCTAGAGACCCATTTCTAGGGTTTGGCTCACTTTTGAGGTAGGGGCATCTTAATCCACTCCTTTCTTGTTCTATTGTGAATTATGATCCTATTGTGTGATAATATGCTTAATTTGAGAAATTACTTGCTTCCATGATGTATAAATTATGTCTAGAGAATTTCATTACTTTGATTATAACTTGTATCATGTGAATAACATGTTTAGATGATGACCTTGTTGTGTTAAATGTGTTGATGATTTAATTGAGGATGTTGAACATGATATATACCTGAATGTGTAGTGATGATGTATTGGAAAGTTTCTAAATGTTATAATGTTGAATTTTTATGTCTACTTTGTGTTAATATGCTAGAAATGATGTATGAGAGCATGTTTATTTAGATTGTGCCAAATTTCCCCTTTATCATAATATTGTAATCATTTATACATTCATGCACATGTCATTTGGATGCATGAAAAGGGAAGAATTGGTCTTGAAATGAAAATGGGGGATTTGGGAGATGATAGTTTTTGTGAAATAGTTTTGACAAACCCGGTCGCTGCGGAGTTACCAATGGGCCGGAGGTTAATGTAGCCTAGAAGGAACTAGGGAGAGTACCCTAGCGTGGTTGAGCTATTCAGGCCCCTCGACGGTGCTGCGGAGTCACCAAAGGCCTAGGGACGGTAGCCAATCCTTCTCTCGTCGCGGCGGAGTTATCAAAGGGGGTTACATTAACATTTGAAAGTGATGGTTTCGAGAATGAAAATGGGGAGTGACATTGGCATGCATTTGCATTCATTGCATTGCATTGATTATATTGGGAAATGACTTGTGTGTTGTATAAGATCCCCTACGTTGAATGATCCCTATTTCCCATTGGTCTATTCTTTGCTTGAATTCACAAGGACACAAGATTTATGTCTTAAGTGTCACCTACTGAGCATATAGCTCACCCTACTATTTATACTTTTTTTTTTCAGGTCTTGGAAAAGAACTGGTGGACGACAACCCACCTCAAGCTTGAGCGATACTAGAAGCTCACTTTTGTGTCTTTTGTATATTCCCCATTATTTTTGCAAAGCACTAAAAGTGTAAAGGTATATATATATATATATATATATATTGCAAAACTTTGTCATGTAATGTAACTAAGGTATTTGATAGTATTTTGGATGGGAATTTGATAGTATGTAACCTTGTTGATGAATGGGAATGATAATTTTAGTTAAAGTAATTATTGGTGTTATTTGACTATGTATGATCATATACTGTTGCCGTGAATTCAGAAATCAGTTGCATTGCGGTAGGTCCATATTTCGGGGAAGTTATGCCGAATTTTTTAAATAAAAAAAAAAAAAATATAGTATCAGCTAGGTACTATTAGACCGCCTTAACAATATGTGCATCCCCATAGATCGGATACCTTTTGAAAAGTGAGAAAGTACTATTAGACCGCCTTAACAATATGTGCATCTGCACAAATCGGATACCTTTTGAAAAGTGAGAAAGTATTATAAGTACCATTAAACAACCGCTAACCCTATATTTATTTTCAAAATATAGATTTCATTCACAAGATTCTAAACAGTATAGTAGCTACCTGCCTAACTTATTTTTGTAAGCTATGTTCCTTCCAAAATTTTCTCTCCCCCTTTTGTAATTGCATTCTATATAATTGAAGTGGTGCATGGTTCGTCTGTGTGTTTCTGTGTGTGTATTTTCACTCTGGATATAAGATTATAGAAACAGAATCCAGTATCAGTGTCCAAGGTCGTGTCCTTGCAAAATATAATTAATGGTTCATAACTTCATATCAACCATAGCATCTATATACAACTTTGTTCAGAAGAGGCAGCTTCAAATCCAGAAGCCGACCATATATTTACATGATTCGTCTTAAGCCAATCATATTTACAATTTCATGGCAAATTTTCTGGGAATACGTTTTTGTACATACTACTTATTTTACCTATACATAAAGCTATCGGATGTTGATAGCAGGCAACTTGCAGAATATTTTAGAAATGCTCTGGAACTATTCGGGACGAAAGCTCACAAGATTAGGAAGAGCAGTTGACTGAAGTTTCTTGATTCCAGATGCAGTAACACCACAAGACTCCAAGGTTAACGAACGTAAATTTTTTAAAGGCTTCAGATGCTGCAACCCCTCGTTGGTTATACGAGAATTTGAAACATTCAGAGAAACCAAAGCTGTCAACCCTGCATTTTCATAGTGCAAAGTTTCTATAACGATGATTTAAAGAATTAAGTAAAGAACCAACATCAACATGAGATGCAAGACCACACTTAAATAAAGACAAAATTGCAGAGTGAGAATTCTTCAATAGATGGCCACGCCTATCCTTCAAATTTGCAGTTATAAATTGAATGATCATTTATCCAACTTTTTAGAATGAATGTTATGGAAAAAAAAAAAAAAAACTTGCATTTCACACCATTTATGTGCATAGTTATGATTTCCTCCATCAGAGTCAAAAGGGAGTTGCTATGTGATAGATATGGCACACCCAGAACTGAGAAGTCATATAAATATAACACAGTTTGTAGTCATATTATAGCAATACATCTATTAGATATTTTGGGCATTGATTGAAATGTTGAGCGAAATGATCAAAGTGGAAAAGTCAATAACGTATTTTATATCCATTTTAGGAACAACAATACAAGCACAAAGGGCTCTCCATGGTGACATGGCAACTAAGAGATCCTAGTGCATTAGTGAGAGTCCCTGTTTTAAATAATCATATTTGTATTTACAAATGATTCAGCTACAAACTGCTGCAACCATACTGGCATATCAAATGTACAGATACAGTGGATTAGAACCAGCCAAGTTAAACTTTGGCATGGGAATGATCCTTCATTGTATATATTTTGTGGTCCCAAGAACCAACTATGCATCCAATTTTTTTTTAGCAGACAGGTAAATGAAATTATCAAGACCTATTATGATTAACAGAACCCTTATCCTGAGTCTCAAGTAAACTCGAGCATTAGAAAAAAGAAGAGCATATTTTATTAAGAGAAGAAAAGGATACCAGAAATCAATTCCAAGGTTTTATCTGTTAGGTTCAAGTTTTGTGACAGGTTCAGCAATGTCAATGAACCGAGATCCTTGATATTCTTCACAGCGGCATCTGTTAATCCTCCACCACATATTTCTAGAACACGGAGGTTCTTGAAGTCTGATCAAGCACAGAAACAATTAATAATAAGAACATGCAAGGTTTTTTAAGAGTCGAATAAATACAGCAATAATATATGGGGCCACTACAAATAACAGATAACTGGAGTTTGAGCCATTAAAAGTGAGAAATAAAATATTCAAACCTATTTAGGAATCATATCGTTGTGGTTGGGAGCATGCAGATATGAGTTAAAGAGACCTTTGAATTGCATTTGAATAATCATTACCGGGGCAGAAAGCTTAAAATGTGTGGTGACTTGTAATCATGACTGGACCAAATGATTGATAATCTTTATCCAATAGTTAACAGCAACTCAGATACCGAGGACATGCGTACTTGAATATTTCAGTAAAATAAAAGACAATCCCATGCCATATATTTAACAGCAAAATAAAACTCATTAGGAAAGAATGCCATCACATTATGAATATACCCAAATGGTCACAAGTTTAAAGTATGACGCAAGTTGGCAACATGAACTTGGGGCAAAGGAAAGTTCTTTGAACATACATCGCAAGCAATTTGTTCCGGCATCAGATATTCGTGCCCCAAAAAGATCCAAATGAGTCAACCCAGTCAAGCCTGCATCAGAAAAGCAACAGAGTCTGTTGACTTTTTTCATGCCACCATAAACCATACGTATAGTCGTATACTCAAGTGCCAGCCAGCAATCAAATAAATCAAAGTGACTAATAAAATATTGAAATGACAAGCAAACCACATAATAAAAATTATGACAGTGGTAACAAGCTTGAAGAAAACAAACAACACAACTCATTTCCAACAAAGCCTCGAGTAAAAACTACTCGACGTTAACAGTGTAAATTGACAGAGCTGTACTAAAAAATTTGAATCAGGATGCCAGCTAATTCTAGTTATTTCACAATAATAAATTCCTCTGCAACAAGCCACATTGGGTTGATGTATCATCCAGTATTGCACTTCAGATCATGAAACTCAAATATTAGTCCATGTTATGATGTAAACACAGTAAAGCCACCAGAAATTGGAGTTAGGGTATCCTATATTCTATCAAATTAGTTCCTTTCTTCTCTCTACCAGTCTCGAAACCTTGACCTAGGGCTTGGAAATTAGGACCCAAAGCCACTAGGACAAAGGTAGACAAGTATATTCTAGCCAATTAATTTGGCATGTTATCAAATTAATATGGAATTCACCTTTAAACCTTTTGGCATGTCAATAATACATAGCTGTATAATGTTTTCAATGTCCATGTCTTAATACAGCAGGATCTATTCATTCTTTACGGTTTGGAGAATAGACTCATTAGTGAGTTGGTTATGGAAAACTCATTTGGAATTTATAAAAAATAAAAAAATAAAAAAAATAAAACCAGTATCTGTAACTTGAATAAGAGCCATGATGACAACACTCCTGGACACCTGCATTTATTTATGCATGTATGTGCTTACTTACACCTCTATATTCATAGGTGTACATACGTATGTGTGTAGGTATGTATGCAAGTACATAGTTATGTACATAAATATACATATATAAATCCATATATATACACACGCACACACGTGTATATATGATTAAAGGACCCTGTTATTTTGCCAATAACATAGCTTTATCTCTATATGATTGCTTTTTAGGAAAAGGGAGCTTCACGAGTCATCAAGGAGGGACCCTTCATGAGGCCTGAGTTATAAATGGAAATATTATCTATCAACATCAAGTTCTTATGTTTATTATTTTGATTAAAAAAAAACTACATCTCATTATTCCTCACAAAAAAAATAAAAATAAAAATAAAAATAAAAAATCCCCAAACAAATCAGGTTCGGCAATTTAGGTGGAAATGTGGCTCAAAACCTGGGTCTTTAACAAGAGTTAATTCAAGCCTCATCTAAGCAGACTTAATTACCCTAATAATAAATGATAGGAAAAAATAAACTTATCTTGACCTAACGATAGAGGCAACCAAGTGTTGACCAGCCGCCAGATCTTTTCGGTAATCAACGATAATATTTTATTATTAGAGGTAACGATTTCCATGGATAAGAATGATGACAAATCTTATGCAGGATAAGATTTCCATGGGGATGATGACAAATCTTATCAAGGATAAGATTTCCATGAGATAAGTCCCACGGGATGAGGATAATGAAATTCCCTTATCGAGAATAAGGGAAGCGACGATAAATAGGACGACGACTCGGGAATAAGGTACAACGAAAAAACTATTATTAAATCCCTACTTTCTTTTTAGACCTCCGGTGACTAACTTGATCGTCGGAGAGCTCTTGGCAGGCACCACACCGGTGCCATCAAGGTTCATCAATCTTCTCCTCTTTCCCTTGCAGGTAAACGTTGTCGTATCGGACCGTGTGAATTTCACCCTCAACAATTGGCGCCGTCTGTGGGAACGACGATTCCCTTGAATCAATTAATTACTCTATTGGGTATATACGTTTGCAGTTCGGTATAGTTACCGAAAGAACACCGTCATAGAGATCTGGTCAAAGGGTAGAATCGGGTGAAAACCTGGACGTCCCAAACGACCAGACACGGCTTGCAGCGTTGTAACTGCAGGTCCAAACTCTGAGTCAGGGTGTGGACCAGTTGATCCAGCAAAATGCAGCACTCCTGCAACATCTTGTTCCACCGGTTCAACAAAACTTGCCACGACAAGATCTCTCAAATCCAAATGGAGGGAATGGGAATCTTGAAGAGCAAGATAATCATCCCCTCCAAAATGAGACTGAAGTGGAACAAAGCCAGGTGGGAACCCGACATAGAGAGGTGGTCCACCCATCTCTCCCACGGAGTTCCCAACCTCCTGAAAGCACAGCCTTCTGTCTTAAGGAAAAGACAAAGAAAGTTAACTATCTCGACCTGCAGATCGAGGATCTCGAAAGGAAAATGGAATATGTAATGCAGGCTCTGAAAGCGAAAGGTCCTGCCGCCGTAGATGACCTAGTACAAAGGACCAACTTGCCGTTCAGCCCCGCCGTTATGAAATGTCCACTACCTAGCAAGTTCAGGATGCCCTCGTTCGAAAGCTTCGATGAGACCAAAGATCCCCTCGATCACCTGGAAACTTTTCAAGCTCTTATGCATTTACACGCTGTGCCGGACGAAATCATGTGCCGAGCTTTTCCCACTACACTTAAGGGGTCAGTAAGAGTTTGGTTCAACAAGCTGAAGCCAAGAACCATCAACACCTTTGAAGAACTGAGTAAGCAGTTTGTGAGCCACTTCATTGCAGGTCAGAGGCATAGGAGGCCGACTACCTACCTGTTTACCGTGGAGCAACAAAAGGAAGAGTCGATTGTGGAATACATCACCCGATTCAATGCAGAGATGTTATAGGTAGAAGAGGTGGACGACAAGGTAGCTTTGCCCACTCTCATAGGAGGACTCCAAACCTCCAGATTCTTGTTCTCCTTATCAAAAGAACCTCCCACCAGCATGATAAAGTCGTTGATCAAAGCGCAAAAACACATCAACGCTGAAGACACCATGAGTGCACGGAAGGAAGGAGAGGATAAGAAGAGGCCAGCCCCTCTCGTCAGGAATGAAAATAATACCAAATATAAGAGATCATTCTTCAGCCAGAACGATAGCACATATCATGAGAAGGACTCAGATGAGTATACCAACTAGAAATTATCTCACGGCTGGAATTAGCCTTATCAAGTCATTCATAATAAAGACTGAGGGCATCTTAGTTAATCATTTTAAATGGAGGGTAGCTCCCTCACGTGTTATCTTATTTTTAATAAGCCTTGAGGCAATGATGGTCTTTAATAAAATTCTTTTCAGTTGCCTTGACTCTTGGTCAATTATCTTTATACGTGCAGTATCCCCGTACTATAAGGGATAGTAAATGAGTGTCCTGTATTACAAGGACCCGGGCTGAGTGAATCCCGTAATCCGTATCCCCGTACTATAAGGGATAGTAAATGAGTGTCCTGTATTATAAGGACCCGGGTTGAGTGAATCCCATACTCCGTATCCCCGTACTATAAGGGATAGTAAATGAGTGTCATGTATTACAAGGACCCGGGCTGAATGAATCCCGTAATCCGTATCCCCGTACTATAAGGGATAGTAAATGAGTGTCTTATATTACAAGGACCCGGACTGAATGAATCCCGTAATTAATAGCCCTTTACAATAAGGGATAGTAAATAAAAATCCCTTACTAGAGGGGTGAACTGAGTAAAGCTCGTAAAGTTCAATTCCCTTAATTAAAGGAGTGACGATCTGAGTAAAACTAATACCCAGGGGCAGAGTACCCAAGGGTACTAAAAATAGTACCCAGGGGCAGAGCACCCCAGGGGAAGATTACCCAAGGGTACTAAAAATACCCAAGGGTACTAAGAATAGTACCCAGGGCAGAGTACCCAAGGGTACCAAAAATAGAACCCAGGAGAAAAAAAGTTACTGTTCATATGAACAGTACCCGCGGGTACTGTTCATATATACAGTTGAATATATATATATATACCCAGGGCAGAGTACCCAAGGGTACCAAAAATAGAACCCAGGAGAAAAAAAGTTACTGTTCATATGAACAGTACCCGCGGGTACTGTTCCCAGGGCAGGAATATATATATATATATATATATATATTCCTGCCCTGGGAACAGTACCCGCGGGTACTGTTCATATATATATATATATATTCCTGCCCTGGGAACAGTACCCGCGGGTACTGTTCATATATATATATATATATTCCTGCCCTGGGAACAGTACCCGCGGGTACTGTTCATATATACAGTTGAATATATATATATATACCCAGGGCAGAGTACCCAAGGGTACCAAAAATAGAACCCAGGAGAAAAAAAGTTACTGTTCATATGAACAGTACCCGCGGGTACTGTTCCCAGGGCAGGAATATATATATATATATATATATATTCTACTGTATACCCGCGGGTACTGTTCCCAGGGCAGGAATATATATATATATATATATTCTACTGTATATATGAACAGTACCCGCGGGTACTGTTCCCAGGGCAGGAATATATATATATATATATATATTCTACTGTTCAATGAACATTACCCGCGGGCACTGTTCCCGAGGGAAAAGTGCCGGGGGCCAAAAAAAAAAATCTTACATTCCCAAAGCTAGACGAGCAAGCTTGGGAATGGGGGGCAACTGATAGGGAAAAATAAACTTATCTTGACCTAACGATAGAGGCAACCAAGTGTTGACCAGCCGCCAGATCTTTTCAGTGATCAACGATAATATTTTATTATTAGAGGTACCGATTTCTATGGATAAGAATGATGACAAATCTTATGCAGGATAAGATTTCCATGGGGATGATAACAAATCTTATCAAGGATAAGATTTCCATGGGATAAGTCCCATGGGATGAGGATGATGAAATTCCCTTATCGAAAATAAAGGAAGCGACGATAAATAAGACGACGACTCGGGAATAAGGTACGACGAAAAAACCATTATTGAATCCCAGCTTTCTTTTTAGATCTCCGGTGACTTAACTTGATCGTCAGAGAGCTCTTGGCAGGCACCACACCGGTGCCGTCGAGGTTCATCGATCTTCTCCTCTTTCCCTTGCAGGTAAACGGTGTCGTATCGGACCGTGTGAATTTCACCCTCAACAATAAATATATTCTATGAGTATAATACAGGGGTATGGATCATAGCTATTAGAAGGTTTTTACCTTAGAAGATCAACAGAGAAGGAAAGACACATTTTGTAGCAAAATTCAAATTGCGAGGATAATAGAACGGTATCCAAAGAGTTGCACACCCCAATATGTTTTATCATATTATATAAATATTAAGAGAGTAATTTAACATACCTAGGAATATATAAAAAGAATCCGTTCAACTGTTCTGAATGCTACATAAAACATGAATATAATGCTATAGTAGATACTTTCATGACAAGATAAAAAAAATGTCAGGTATTCCCTCAATCCAAAATGTCTCTAGTGGGGACTCCAACTCTTTCCCCCTTCGAAATTTCAAACTCTGACCTCCAAAATTTTAAGGAAATTTTTGTTAATTTACAAATGTTTTCAGAAGTCAAGGATAATCCCGGAAAGCCACAATTTCTTTTTACATTTTGTCAAAGGGGGCAGTTATTTTGCCGTCCAGAAAGGAAAGAGGGATATTTATTTTGGAATTGGGATGAAGGTAGTACTAACTTATTGAGAAAAATCAATGATACTTAGATATAAAGCACTACGCATGTGACTCGAAACAATATAGCATGTATTCGCAAGAGATTTCTTAAATACTCATATCCTCTAGCCACTAATTCCAGTATTGGTCCCAATCCAGAAGAAAGGAAATGCTATTATCTTTAGCATCAAGCACAAACATTTAGCATGATTGCATCGTAAGCAAAACTATTTCAACTAATAATTTGCTCCAATACTAAAATAATATATAACAAATAAAACTCCTGCACACCGCTGCAGGGAGAACACACTTCAAAATGCTTACTTGTAAGAGCTGCAAGGCCAGCATCAGTAATTTGGCGAGCATCCAAATTAAGTGACTTAAGATGTGCCAATCCAGACAGATTTTTTAAACTATTGTCACTCACTAAGGTGAATGATAAATTTATATCCTCCAAATTCTTCAAACCTGACATAAAACAAAATGCAAACAAGAAAAGTCAGCTTACAGCAAGCATTAAACAAAATAAACCTAAGCAAACATATCAAAAGACATATAAACAAAGGAATAGTTTTTCATTTCACTGAAATGCAGCAAGCATGTCGGAGAGAGAGAGAGAGAGAGAATAAACATGCTGATTTATGCTTCATCTTGCAACTAGTTTAAATAATTGGATCAAAGTTCTCTGCTTTGGAAAAAAACTGTAACTTGACAATAGGAAAACATGATGGAACATTTAATACGACAAAAATCAATTGGTGTCACTTTCTTTTTGGTTCTGTTGTCAGAAAAGAAAATTATTTTTATAGTGGTGAAATTTCAGGGACTAAAAGAAAAGGTCTACCACAAACTGCTTAACTTAGTATATTGTTCTGACCTCAGCTTTCATGGAGTGCGCATGGGGAGAGAATAAAAATTTAAGGATCAAAGAGAAAAAGTAAATAATAATAATAATAAAGATTTAAAAGCCAATGCCGCAGCCAATGCCGCAAGCAACATAGTAAGATAGACATCAAAAGATGTTACTCTCTTTTATAACAACAGTTAACAAGGACCTCACTGAAGATTAGATAGTTTAGTTACCTAAAAATGAAGTTCACTTTTGACATCTAGAGTGCTTAAATTCTCCTTTGACTATAAAAAAGATTTTCAGGCTCCTCAAGTTCATATATATATATATATATATATATATATATATATATATAAGCAGGTATATTGTATGCCAAGTTAATATTCAAGCATGAATATAAATGTTTCCTTCTAATGACTTATATTTTCAAGGTACCCTTCAGAAGTTCTGTCTCTTAAGATTCTCTTTAAGGGAAAAAAATAATATTTGTAGGTAACTTTTTATGATAGAATACTAAAAATCAACCACATAATAATTTATTTACCTAATAATTTTCTGGTGCTGTTAATCTAGGATTGTTAGATAAAGGAAATAAATAATCATACACTAAACCCAAAAAAATCCCAAAATCACTTCCGTTATCTTTATTACCTTAAATTGGAATTTGAGAATTAGTCAATAAAGTAAATGTATCACATAAATGAGAGCAAATCTGTTGAATATAATTGAAAAATTATTACTATAATGGTGTATGTATTGCATAAGATAAGATTAGTGCATGTTTATAGCTTCGGAATATTTTCGTTTAACAAATATTCTACAGTGACCTACATTTCTGTATGTAATTTTAATTGATTTCATTAAAATAAAAAGTTAATTGAGAAAATACTTTCACTAATCACTATTGTTAGTAGCTTGACTGAGTAAAAAAAACAGTAGTTGATAAAAAATGTATCAAGATAATATGAGAGATAGTAAAAGTAGTTAAATTTAACACATTTAATTGAATAAAGATCTGATTAACAAATTATTGCACAGAGATAGGTCTGAAATATATCTACAAAGTGGGGGTATTGTTGTCTTTAAAATATTCAGATAGAGAGAGCATTTCCATGCTATGCAATTGTTAAAATAGAAATTTGAACAGAACAATCAAAATGATATATTTCCCCTTATAGTTGTCTTTAAGTCCCTTTCCTACTATGAAAATTTCACATATCAGCATGTTCATGTAAGTGCCATATATGTTTAGTGTTGCATCCAAAATTCATCATGTTCTCTTCTTTTTCTTTTTCTTTTTCCCCCATCGGTATACAATATTGATCATATTCAAACAAAACAATCTTAGGCTGATCATGCAGAATATTGTTCAAACTGGAAGTAGGGTTAATTAAGGGAAGTTAATTAAGATCACGCTAATTCCAGCTTATAACCCATTAAAATTAAATCAGAAATCATAAAGTTAGGTCAAATTTCAGTCTTTAAAAAAGGGCTGCTCTTAAAATGCACAGAAGTTACAGAAAGCTTTTAAACCCTCTTAGGATTGTTGAGCATATCGAAATACATAATATATAGAGGATAGACTTTCACCTAAACAGTGGAACAAAAATATGTATAAGATGGCAATTAACGGAAAGGGCTAGAACCTATAAAAGTACATTCAAAGACTCATAGATCCTCTCTTAACCCATCTCCCCCACCACAAAATTATGAGGGCTAACAAACCAGATATCGAAAAGCAAATGCCGGGGACGAGAATTCAGCAAACTAATGCTAGATAATATTAATCTGCAATGTTTTATATCCAGAGTTTAAAGAATTCAGTCTCTAGAAAGTAGTGTTTACAAACAATCAATAGATCAAAGAAACCCCTTGATGTAGATCTATTAGCTAAATGATGCATATAAATGTGCAACAAATGGAAGGTTACAAAGAAGCTATATCGATGTGTGAGTAGGCCACATTTATAGGCAATTAGAGCCAGCAAAATTTAATTTGCATTTACTCAAGGGTTTCAAGGAACCAATATTGATTTGCAGAATATGTCCTCCTTGAGGATTTATTCTGGTTATGTCGTATCAATAAGCTTAAAAATTGCTATGTTCAATATACAAAAATCCAATTTAGTGAAAGCCAAGAAGAAAGGCTTGAACAAATACAATTGAAACGAAAATATACTAGTTCTTGACTTCAAGCACTTCCTATTTCAAGCTTCACTTCTGAAAACATGTCAGTTAGATGACAATTTGATTGCCTAGACATCAAGCAATAAAGAAAACTACCCCAATCAATAAAGAAGATTGATAAGCACTAAAACTTATCTGAGCCATACACAATCTGGAAAGAATAAAATGAGAATCTATATGAAAAATGGATGTGCATCACATTAATTAACTTATTTTGTATTCAGAGATCAGTCACGGAATGCAGATAGCAGATGCTAACTAAACAAAGTACCAGAGAGATAACGCAACCCATTGCTTCCAACTTCAGTATCAGACAGCACCAAAATTTTCAAATTCAGTAGGCCTGTACAGAGAGAGTAAAACTTTTAAGTACAGAGAAAATAGAACTCTAAAAGATAAGCACAAAGATCACAGAAAATTTAACAGTTCTTATTTCTATAGAGGGAAATGAGTATCATGGTAGCTTTCACAACCCATTGTTCTGCTTAAACTACATGGCTGAACTACAACTCAATCTCTCAAAGTAAATCAACCAACTAATTTCATCTTTGGACCACCTTTGGAAACCTCTTCACAATACACGTTTCATGCATTGCGTTTATATAGATCTTGTATCAGAAGATGACAAATACACGAGTGAATATTTTCTTTAAAATTATCAAAATAAATAAAGCTAATTTGCTCACCGCAAAAAGGTAAAAAGATAAAGCCAGTTCAGAAAAACTAGTCAAGACACCATACCAAGTCGAATGCCATTTCGTGCAAATTATGTCATAACTTAGGCATATACTAAGTCCAACCCTTCCTCAAATAATGGGGAATCCACACTGGATGATATGCTAGTATGGGCTCCATGAGCAGTTCATTAACACAGTCAAAACAACTTCACTTTACTCCACCGAATTTCCCATCCGTAGCTGGCATCTACAATTTAACTCCATATTATCCTTTGTTTTCTCTTATCATGTTGATTGCTAAGAATTTGGAATTGTATAGCAGGTTGTGGATGGATGGGCTACAATGACACACAAGTTTTCTCTTCTTTTCTTATCCTACAAATATTTGGCAAATATACAGCAGGTTTACAGAACATGTTGATTCTAACAATAAAGCCTCTTCTAATTACAAATCCTATCAGCAGGGTCAGATTATTTTTCACAAAAGACTGTTTGTCCCTACTTGGTATATATTACTTACCATAGATCAAACCATGGCTAGTGTGGCTCTTCAATTTTCTACAATATAGGCATTAATTTTAAAGAGTATCCAGATAAGACAAATTTAAGATGAAGAAAATGAAAAAATACATCCAAGAATATTATGATGCGTGATCTATGCCCAGCGTATTCTAATCTTTCTCCTTTTTCCTCTCCTCTTTGTGATAACAATGGAGTCAGATCCAAAAACAAAATCATGAAACTTTGGGATCCTGTGGAACAATGTTACTAGTCACTCCCCATCATAAACATTAATGGATAATATTAACCTGTCAAATTAGCAAGCCCATACTAGGCTTTAACCAGCATAAACTAACATTTCAACTGCAATAGAAATAGAGAAAAAAGAAAAGGAAAAAAAAAAAGTTGTGACAATCTTATTAACCTGTCAAATTAGCAAGCCCTTCATCATCAATCTTGCATGAATCCAAGTTCAAGCTCTCCAATTTCATTAGACCTACAAGGTAGCAAAACCATTAGCTGTATTACAATTTAGGGTTAAGTGCAAAAAAACCCCTCTTTATATACAAAATGTGCAATTACCCCCCTATTGTTTGAAAAAAACCCCTACTGTTTTCAAATATATAAAATAGATACTATTTATATATATATATATACACACACCTAACTGTGTGTGTGTGTGTGTGCAGTACACAGTATATATTTATATATATATATATATATATATATATATATATAACCGCTGGTCTTCTTCACTGTCATCATCAGCGTGGGTGTGCTCGCTGGCAGTGAACACCAACTCAAACCCAAACAATCACGCCGAAAATTGTCGATCTATTGTCGAAGCACCTAAGGTGAGGATCCATTGCATAATGTTCACGATTGTGTACAGAACAATTTGGGTAGCAGATGTTGTGCTGGCCGGAGATGGGTCTGTTGAATACTTCGCGGCCAAAATTTCTACAATAAATTTACCAAAATTTCACATTAAATTTTCGTTACCGCTACAATCACCGGTTTATTCGAGGACTACTTCGACGAAATTGTTGGCAGTCAAGTTCAATCGTTGCTGCTCCTACAAAATCATCATTCAACCGCAACTCCATCACAATCCCGTTGGACGATGCAAACGCAGCTCCTCAGTTCTTGCTGTTCATTCGCAATAGCAGATTCTTGGTTCGCAATTTCTATTCAATCTTGCAGCAATCATGGAGCACAATTTCCAGCAATTTCCAGAAAGTTTTTTGGTGGCTCAAGTTGCCGCTGCAATTTCCTGTAAGTTTTTTTTTGTTGTTGTCGTCCATGAATTTTGAGGACGACGAATTCATCGTCGTATTGGGATGATTGGGTGCAATGCAGTAGTTGAAGGAGACGAAATAAAATGAGCAGTCCGTCAAAGGGACTGCTGCTCTGCTACTGTGAAGCAACAAGAGTGGCCGAGGAATTTCTCCTTAAAATGTTGAGCAATCAACCACTAAGGAGGCTATAGCTCAACCAGTCCAAATCATCAACAAGGAGATCACTGGGATTGTTATTGAGACCCCCTGTTGTAGAGAGAGAGAGAGAGAGTGGAGAGAGACGGTTTAGAGAAAGAATGAAAGGATAGAGGGATAATTTTTTTTTTCTTGCTTACATCAGCAACGAGGGCATTTTGGGGTTTTTATTAAAAATTTGGTCAAAATTAATGATAAGGGGGCAATATGCTCAAAAGGTTCATAATATAGGGATTTATATGCACTAAATATTTAATAGGGGTGTTTCTTGCACATTTTTTGTATAGCAAGGGGGTTTTTTGCACGTTACCCTACAATTTAAAACCCTCTAAAAATTAGAAGATTTATACCTTTTACCAAAGACATCCAGAAGTTATATCACAGTTCGCTTAAGTCTCGGAAAATAATGAATGATATTTTCTTAATTAAAAAAAAAAAAAAAAAAAAAAAACAATAGTAGTTTGACTGACAAGAAATTCAAGGGGTAAGAATGAGATAAAGTTTGCCCTTGGGGTTCCCGAAGTATGGGGACTTTAGGAAGCATTGGTTAATAAATAGATGTTGATTGCAAGTTTCAAAGTAGAATAGAAATAAAAAAAGAATGGAACAAATATATTTTACATAAAAGGTAATTAAGGTTTTTTTTTTTTGGGATAAATATTAAGGATTACCAACCTTAATGCAAAAATAAAATAAATTTTGCATGACAGCTGCTGTCTTCATATTTGACTAACCAGTAAAGCTTTTAAAACTACTCTCCTTAGAAACTTTTTAAATTTAAAATTTCACATAAGAATACTTTTGCCTTTTCTTTTTTTTTAAAAAATTTTTTCAACGATTTCACAGGTGAAAGTGTTTAAATTCCTTGATGAACCAATCTTGTCTTACCATGCAAGTATGAATCACAAAAACGTATTTAGATCCATCAAAAGGCAATCATATGTTCTACAAGCTCCAACTAAGAAAGAATAAGATTGAGATAACAGAGCAGGGTAGTCAAATACTGCACAAAACTCCTATACGCACTTAATCTCGGCACAGTATTATTTTAACAGTGATTTCCGAGCAAAAATAAGTTGATTGCTCACTAAACAGAAATATAAACAAGATCTCACTTTTCGGGCTAGAACCTTGGCATGGATTTGAAGGCCTCTTTTAGTAACTACCAATATCTGCTGATAGGAAGTTCTTGCATCTTTATACTTTATTTATAATAAACATTGCAGTTTCAAAAAGTTGTACTGATAAATACAATTTCTAATGAGAAGTCTACTCATTTGTTTAAAATATCTTTTAGAAGAGAGAAAAAAAGGTCAATATAGAATGGAATCTAAATATATAAAATTACATTCCATATACATGCATACAGACACACACACCCCCCCGAAAAACAGGTGTGTGTGTGCGCGCGTGTTTATATAAAAAAAAGAGTCAGAAATTACCTTTTAGATGCACCAAACATGCATCTGTGATATTGTTGAACCCCAAGTTCAACACCTTCAAATTTTTTAGTCCTGCAAAGTTATGAGTGATGCAGCAAGATCAAGATTACCAAGTATTCTACCTTGCAGACGGTGATAAAGAACTAAAATATATTGATGAACAAGTCTATAATTTATATGTATTTGATGACTTATAGGAAGACCATAACAATTTGTGTGGATTAGCATGAAGGAAAGGAAAGGAAATTATGGCAGTAGCTGGAAGAGAAAATAAAAGAAAGGAGGGAATAATATCACATCTCTTTTCTTGTTTAGTTAACTAAAGAAGGAAAAGAAATGAAAAGATAGTGGTAACCCCTCATCTTGTTAATGAAAAATTATTGGGGTGGGGGGAAGGAACGATCAGATATGGTAAAATAGGATTCCACTTATTATAAGAAATAGAGGTAAGGTGAGTGAACATTAAGACCAATCTTTTCCTTCCATTTCCTCCCATTTGTAGGAGGAAAGCAGATATATTTCTAAGGGGTCAACCTTTCCCTCATTTTCCTTTTCTGTCCTTGCTTATTTATAAACCAAAGTGAGATGATCTTTCCCTCCATTTCCTTTCTTTCCAATTCCATTAATCCAAACTCACTCTATACATGGTTGATAACATTTGACTGTTACTCACTGGAAAACTTGTCACATCCACCATCAGATAGACCACATCTGTTGAGATTTAAATATGCCAGTCCAACAAGAGCTGCACAAACACAACCAAACATATATCACCAATTGAAAAACAGACCAGACCTGCAAATGAGGCTTCTGGAACAAATTTTAAAATTTAATCCCGTGAAAATTCATAGTACTGCCAAGAAACTAGATTCCTCACCCACAAAGACGCCAATTAGATTAAAATAATATTTTTTAAGGGTTCATAAGTGGTTTTCTTACCAAAAGAGAAACATTATTTGCCTGTTTGGGAAACCCAAAAATCTGGCTACTATGAGCAAAGCCAACCTGGGTCCTTTTGTTTTAAGTTTGGTAGCTCCAACCTTCCAGTACAAGACACGTCTAATATTTGGTTCTTCTAGAAGTAGGTGAATGTTCAGCTGTATCACGTACAAAACTTACTAAATCTTTTAAAGGAAATAAAGTTCCCAAAAAGCCCCTTATTATTGATCATCTAAGATATTTACAGATTGTTAAATTTCAAAAAGGTTTTTATATTTAGCTGAAATTTTCAGAATGCAATCAAAGCCCAGACAGTCTATAACTGAACAACTTTGCCTCCTGACAACAGAAAAGGGGAAATGAGCTTAATACTATTTCCAGCTTCCAATAATCTCTCTATAATAATGATATTTTTTTTCCCTCCAACCTCGAATTTACATAATGTAAAGATACGTAGAAATTTTTAGAAATCATTGTACAGACTCCAATACAGCTACAAGATATTATAAAAGAACCATCAAGGTTATTCTATGGTACAACCGTACAAGCAATTTCAGCATTACTAGAAAGGCCAAGCAAACCTGAAATAGAATCCAAACATGCAGTAGTGACATGGCATCCCTCCAGGTTCAACAAAATAAGCTTGCGCAAACCTGTCATGGACAAAATGTAGACTCAGCAACAGCAGCATCAAAGAAAAATTACAAATTTTCATTAAAACCCACGTATGAAAACCATGCAAAACACCGTAAGTGCTAAGATAGTTCGATTGTGCCAGGAAGACAGACATCTGTCTGAATAAAGCATTACAAGGGTGGGAAGAAATAGGGGGCTTGGTACGGCATCTATCCAACAAAAGACCAGGGGGTAAGGAAAATCAAACATGATCAGTAACTAGAGAGTAACAAAGCCATCAATTGACGGGCCCATAGATGACATTTTTCTTTGTTCGATAATTGACCCATAGAACTATTTAAAAAGAAGTTAAAAGCATGCAGACCAAAAGAAATAACGAATGAAGGATGTGTTGTCTACAGACTATCGATGGGGAATATCAGGAGATGACAAGCAGCAAATTGAACAGAACTGATAATATGACCGCCATTTGCAATCATACAAACCAGGAAAAGAAATGGAATACAGATACTTCATTGCCTGCAACAAATATCATGATTTCTTTGCAAACCTCCAATCAAATGCGCTATCCTTCCTTTTTGGATAATTAAATGCAATATCTTTCAATTCTAAATAACACCTCACATGCATCAAGAAATTCAACCAGAATACAATTCTTACTCGGTTCTCATGGTAATTAACTCTCAAAACACAGGCGTCCGCTCAAATAACATTAGAGATGCACGTGCGTGCGTGCGTGTGTAAGAGAGAGAGAGAGAGGTCACATTTTTGAACAATTGAAGAAACTAAAACAAGTTATTTAGCACACAGCAACATAAAATAGGTGTGGTAGTTAATGTTCTTATAATCATCGATTCATCACATAATAAATAGTTCACATATCATAATAGACAAACTCAGAAATACCTTTCAAATAAGACACTCCAAAATCCGTTATGCTGCTGGAGGATATTTGTAATTCCTTCAAGTTAGTGAGCCCTGAAACATGAGACAGTTGAGATCCCCTGATTTTTTACCAAAAACTGACAATCGGAACCATTAAGTTGATCAAAGTAAAGATCAAGAAATATAATTACATACAAACTTCAACAACTAGCATCAACTTAAAAGCATATTCATTTTTAATATTGAAAAAGAATAAGTTACCTTGAAATCCCACTACATATATATGTGAGCAAGTAATGATTAAATCTGCAACATATGCACGCACTCCAACACAATAGCCAATCAAACAAAATACCACCATTGCAACAAATCTTTATAGACTTGGTTGATGTGGGACCCACAAGTGAATAGCACGGAAGTTTTTGTTTGTGTGTAGAAAAAATAAAGGAGAGGGTAGGGTGAAATAATAATAGGATCCCTAGATATGAAAGGTTTGGAAACAAGAAGCATCATATAAGAATAATGAACATGATAAAAGAACATGGATGATTGACAGTGAACACATGCATTTGATTAAAAGAGATATGAGCATTTCCAAAAGAGATAAGCTTGAATCAACGTGAGCCCCTAGAATAGGGATGAATTGAACAGACATACAAGAAACAAATCCAATGGTGTAAGCTAGTTTCTCACAATATAGCTTTAATTGACAAATCAAGCTTAAGGTTTAGACTAAGGTTCAGTAAAATTGAAGCTTGATTGATACCATAATGGAAATTCAATGAGTAACAAATGAAGTTGGGAAGCCCTGATAGGTGCTATGTGATTTGAAATGGAACATAAGACAACCTCATGAAAGCCACACCATCCAATAAAATAAAATAAATGACAGTCAAAGAAGAAAATAAAGGCTATTGCCCAGTGTTAGCCCGATGAATTAGTGCCGAGGGTAGATTGGGTATAGACCTAATCGTAAGAATTTCTTAACAAAGTGGCTGCCCTTATTCTTATGTGAGCTTTCTTACACTTATACAATCTGAGCTCTAGAACAAGATGTACTGCTGGATGAGTGACAAGAACGGACAAAACTAATAATAAAACCATGCATAAAAACATAATGGTAACACCAACCAAGAACAGGGGACCATAAGTTTGTTTATGATCATTTTCAAGGCACTAAAAATGACTAGATTGATGGGGAATGACAGATTAGTTTGATGGTAAGTACAAAACAAGACAAGGTCACTACTCTTAGTATCTATATTAGCTGAGATCTTTACTAGAATGCATGCCAAAGATCGATAAAGTTGCCAAATTAAAATGACATGTGGCACTCCAATTAAAATGAGATGTGACACAAAACAGGATTGGTAGAGTGCATGACTCGTGGCACTCCAATTAAAATGTCCTGCAAGTACCTCATTGTTTCTAAAATAAGTAAATAATATCCCAATATCCAGGAAAAAACATAAGTATGAAGAATTACCTGCAAGAGACTTCATGTCCGAATCTGTAACACACTTACAACATCGGATATTAAGAGACTCTAGCTTTGTTAGACCTACAAAATGCAAATTATATAGTATAAGGTAGAAGAAAAATCAATTGCATGATAGTCTATTAGCATTAAACTAGCAAGCTAACATAGCAGCTCCATAAAGAAGGCAGTTAAATTTAGATAACTATAGGTCTGCTCCGTAGCTCAAGCCTCTCACAACCATGAGGTGAGTTCCCCTCCTCCATTCACCCTCTCTCCCCACCAAGAACATCAACAATTATAAATAAATAAATAAAAATTCCACATATGGAAGACGAACACGAAATACAAAAATTGCATCTTAAATTGGAGAGACAAAACTGACGAGCATTTAAGGATATGATCATTCTTCAAGAGTCATAAGTCTTGGAGAAGTAAAAAAGGGCAGTATGTCACTGCCACATATGGTAACATCCAAGTAATATGAGAGCTTGCATCTAATAGGTCAAAAGCGTATAAGCTTTCATTTGAACATGAGGACAGAAAGTTTTAGTCAATGAAAGAAAATTGAGCAAAACGAACCTTTGAGATGAACAAATCCACCATGAATTCCAGAACACCTCTCCAGGTCCAACTTTACCAAATTAACTAAATTGGAAAAGGCGCGCATTCCTTCAGCAGTAACAGCGTTGCTCTTTTTCAAACTCAAAGATGTCAAGTTTGAAAGGCCTGAATGACCAGATAATAAAAATTGCCCATGTTATCCAGGAACGAATTCTTAGTCAGAAATTCATGAATCCAAATGGATTTTGAACAAAATAGGAAAAAAATTAGAGAAAAGAACATGGAAATGAGATATCTCATTCTACTGCATCCACTATTTCTATTTAGTGTAGCAAAAACAACAGAACAGCAAGATAAAACAACATGATGTCATCATTCATTATTAATACACATAGTTATATGCTCATGGCAATGCTTAGCAGTCTAGCACATACACGGCGATATGGATTGCCATAAATTTACAGACAAAATACTGCTGCAGCTCAATATTGGTGAGATTTGTTCCAGCTCAGTGAGCTCACATTTGGCAAACACTTGATGTGTATCAGAAAAGGTGTCGCTTCCCAGTTCAAAATGGTTCTTTTGATATATAATTATAAATAAAAAAAAATGCATGTCATTTAACAATTGTCCATCCTGCTTGACCATAGAAAGATTTTGGTACCTTTACTCTCTATCATATTTATAACGAAAACAACAAAACGACCATTATTCTGGAAAACAGATGCATAATCTGGTCAAATCCTTATTTTAGTACCTTTACTCTCTATCATATTATTGTGAAGTATTATTTATTTGAGACTGTGGTCAATAGTTCGTATTTGATTTGGGCAGACCAAGTAGTACCATCAGTGTTATTGAAATGCCCAAGGATGTCACTCAGTGTAGGAACTAATTAGCTATACAAATAATAACATCAATAATAACAAACAAATAAATAAGTACTTTATTATGCGTTAATATCAATTTTAGGACATGAAAGTGCATTAAGAAGTTTGTATGAAGTCGGCAACCAGGGAAAAAACTCAATAAAACAAAAAGTATATCTCTACCAACCTAAATTGAAAGATATAAAAGTATAACGCAGAATTTAGCGAAATCGAGTAGACTACCACTAAGGTGCTTTAGTCCACACTCCGAAATCCTGTCACAGCAATTGAAAGCTAATGCTTGGAGATTTGAGCAATCTTTCAGTAGGCTCAATCCAGAATCTGTAACATCAGAACCAGAAACATCGACGGAAAGTAAAGAAGATCCCTGCGAAGAGATAACATCCATCCAACTGTCCACCACTCCAGGATAATCTCCCAAACAAATATCCTGAAAATCCAAGAAGAGAACCTTAAAAATAAGCATGCTCTACAAAGAACCAGTGCTGATAATAGCACACAACTACAAATCAACAATTTAAATTTCATATCATCAGTAGACTTAATAAAAAAAAAGGTTTTGAATCATTGAGGGGAAATTACCTGGAGAGCACAACCTCCAAAAGCTTTGAGAGAAACATCACTAAGACGCTGACAATACACCAATTCATTGAATATCTGTTGGCTTATATCCCTTGGCAGCATAGAAAATGAACTATATTTGTCAATATCCTGTCACAGATTATTTTAAAAAAACAAAAGGAACCATTAGATAAGACACAAGGCCATAAAGAAAAAAGAAATAGACCAAGGAAAGAAAATACCTCACATATTTTGTAAATGCAAAGCTCCAAAAGGGATGAGCAATTGCCTCCTCCCAGATGACATTCAACACAGGGCCGAGAGAATGAGGCACCCAGCCATTTTGAACTTCCACTTTTGCAATACCTTCCGGAGACCCCTCTCCGTACACCATCTTCATCCCCTAATTGGTCTCTCTTCCTTGAACAAACCCCACCCATTGAAAATGACTTTGAAAGTACTCACTTGCTAGCATGAAATGCACCGAAGAACAGTGTTGTATCCCATTTCATAAGGAGAGATCTAGCCGCGTACTCTACGTCTACCTCTACCTAGAACTTAAAAAACGGAAATCTCACTATGAGGAATCTGTAATGTTTCATTAATTCAACACAAATGCCAAAAAAATATGCAGTTTCAAAATTTCAACAAAACTAATTAGTAATATTGATCACATCTATTTGACTAAATATACGGATTGATTCAATGATAGCATTGTCAAACATTAGTTGTCATAATAGTGATGTAACACGAACTCCGACAAAACATTAGAACAAACTCACTGGAAAAGCATCTATATGCCCATCATTAAGGCTTGTGTAGCAATTAGATGAATTCCAACAGAATGAAATATTAGATAGGAACTTGTTCATTTATAACTGGGTCCCCACTTTAAAGAACCTACGCGCGCGCGCACACACCCTCCAACATATATCATTATATAGCCTTGTGTAAGAATGTGGTATAGCATTCATGAGTACTTTTACAAAGAAGGATAACATTGGCTGTCACTTTACAAGGGAGGATAATCTTGGGTGTCAACATTATCCTCCCTTGTAAATCTGAAACTGCACAAAATTGAAGATGAAAAGATGGTACAAAAAAGATAACTGCAAGTTCCTATACAATGGCAATTCCAAGCACACTCTTTGCCCTTATGGTAGGGCAATTGTACTTTCTAAACTGCCAATTCGCCAATTCTTAATAAGTTTGAAAATAAGAAATATGGCCAGGTCAATGCGGATGGTAGCTTTTTATGTATCTAGTTATGGTATGCAAAGATATGCTTTATATCATCTTTGCGGTAATATAACAACTCAAATGAAAAGATTAAAACAAATATTAGAGGAAATTGAATTGTACCGACCAAAGACTATGGAATGACAAAATATAAGGACTCAAATCAAAATATTAAAACAAATATTTGAGGAAATTGACTGAATTGTACCAACCAAAGAATACAAACAACATTTATATTCAACTATATGTCCGAATTTATTATACCAAAAATTTGACAAAAATATTTAGAACTAGCTTGAAGATCAAATACTACCCTATCAATCATCATATATTTCAACCATGTATTTCTCTAGTTTAGAGTCTCAGATTAATTACAAACAGTAGAACTAAATAAATAAAAAAATAAAATAAAATAAAAAAATCACAGAGACACATAGCAAAGTACCAGAAAATGATCTCACCAGAAGCATGATACAGCCTTCAACCCCATAAATTTCTCACTTGCATATACATATATATACACGAATATAACATACACAAAAATTCTATTACTACGAAGCACTGTACTGAGAAACAGAGTTAGAATTTCAAAGTATAAACTAACAGTACCAAACAAGGAAGAGATAGAGAGAGATTATTGTTGCTGAAGATGATCACTTGTGATAAACTCTATATAAGTGTGTATATGTGCATATATATAAATATGTGTGTATATACCTAAAAACAGGAGATGTGAGACCAGTTATTCCATGTGATCAAAGAAGCGATCGGAAAACTCTCTATGATTAGACTGAAACGTAGAGAGAGAGGGTAAAGATACACGGATTGAAACTGAAAAGGCACGAAAGCAGGGGAAAAAATAGAGAGGGGCAACAAGTGCACAAGCAGCAGCTGGTGGACCGAGCCAAAGTCCGAGCGTTCCGATCTTCGACACGTGTATAGATAGTGATGTGTGGCATATCTTGATGAGATAAAAGAGCATTGAAGAGTGGGTCCCATCTGGCGAGTTTTTCGCATTGTTTGGTTCGGAGCTGGGCCCGGCGGGAAAATGATGCTTCGTACTGGATAACACGCGACCATATAACAAACAAACGCCGTCTTGGATTGGATTATTTTGCCAAACAAGCCTTTATCTTCCTCCTAATAGAAGTTGGGTTTCACCAACAACTTGCACCTAATTTCTTTAATATGGTCTTCTCTTTCAAAATTTAGCCGCTTGATGAATTTTGCATAAAAAATTTTATCTTTGTTGCTATTCTAATGAATAAAGGACTCTAAAGGATAAGAATAGACTCTTTCATTTATCTTAATAGCTGAAACTCGATCAACATTTTTATTATTTTTCAACTATAAAATATTATTTGCTTGTTTTATTTAAACAGATTTTGATAAAAACGAAACAAGAAAGTTATAATTCAATCAACAGCTTTTTTTTTTTTTAGGTAAAATTCAATCAACAGCTTTGGTAATGTGTTTGGACATCTTTTCAGAGGGTCCCAAGTTCCAAGCTTTGGCACAACACAATATGCTTATATTTTACTTACAAAAAAAAAAAAAAAAAAAAAAAAAAGCTCTAAATCGAAACCATCAAAGCATACACTTTTTTGAACTTTGTTAGATAAATTAAAACAACTCAGGTTTTAAATCAATATTGGTAAAAGAATAATTATTTACTATAAGTCAATCAAACAAGATTTATATTATTATGTTCATGATTTTTTTTTTTTTTTACAAATTAAAATATATAAATTATTTGTATGTGCAAAAGTTATAATGATATTGAATTAATGTTATTCACATTATTTAATTTTAGATGAGTAGTGATATTAGGATCAAAGTGTCAAGGTAAATAATTTGAATAGTTTGACGTACCATTTTTAATTGATTATCTTTACTAAATACAAGATAAGAGAACCTCACTTTCTATATTTTGCATACATAATTAATCAAAGTGAGTAAATTATTTGAACTAATCCATCTAAAAATTGTATTATTTTTCATTTGAGATTCGTTTAAAAGATTTATGTGAAGTCTAAAAATCATTTTCATTGATTTAAAATTCGTATATCAGCTGTGGGCCATTCATTATATCTCCGCACATAAATAATGGAAACGCATAAACAGTAAATAGACCCACATGTAATCGCTAGTATGATTGGCTGCGTCTCTTTAACTTGTTGGATTCATTGATTGTTTAAATATCATTTTGTAAGGTAATTGAACTCAACTCAACCTCGATTAAACTAAAATGATTGTCTGGCAAATTAAAGGAAATGAGACACCAATAAGAGTATCTGTTCGAAAACTCGTGCTTTACCAATTAAATCATTAAATAATAACCGATCAGGTAAACACAGCGCCTAATTACTTTATTCTTACCTCCTCCTCATTATAATAACCGATCAGGTAAACACAGCGCATAATTACTTATTCTTACCTCCTCCTCATTATAAGTAGAGGGATTCCCAAATAAAAAATAATAAAAAGAGAGCTGCAATTAGGGTTATACCAAGAAGGAGCAACTTGTACTTAAAATAATGAATGGGGATGTCTATGTCAAACCAAAGCATGATAATGCTAATGGAGGAAGAAACACATCTAAAAGTTCTTAACTTCAAGACTCGATCCACGAATAATTGTAATTCTTTAAATTTTTTTATTTTTTTATTTTTTAAATCTTAAGTTACAAATAGATTAATTCATGTTTGCACTATGCATGTGATAATCACAGTGATATATGGCACTCCATGATTCACGTGGGACCGACAATTGTCGAAATCTAATGAAATGGGTTGCATGAAAGCGATTCAGAATATTCAGGAAGATGAAATTTGTTGTAATATGTGGGGCTGAAAAATTGAACATACTGATTGAGAGTGATATATATAGTCGTGTTGGATCATAATCCTAGATTCACCTACAGTATGGTATCCGTTCCTATGCACTCCAATTATACTCATTAATAAGCCCATAAAACTATTTCATATTTAGATTATGAAATTTTTTTGGTGAATAATTAATGTCCCTTTCCAATGTTTAATTCTCTGTCAGTTATTTAATTGTGTAGTTCTCACAATTCACTATTAACCAGAAGATGCATTTTTTTCTAAAACTCTTGTTTCGAAAAATATTTTATTTTTATTTTTCAGTATTTGACAAAGTTGTAGGTTGAGATTAAACTCATGTCTATCGAGTAGGCATTTAATATTGCTTGCTAAAATTGTGTAATATTGCTTGCTAAAATTTGATGAATAAATTATTTTTATTAAGTTTTAATATATTTTTTGTTCATAAAAAATACATAAAATAAATTGTTACTGCAATCTTTTTTTCTTTTTAGAATTTAAACATTTGCAAAACTAGAACGTCCCATGTGATGAGACTCTCTCTTAGACATAAATATAGAAAAAACAATCAGTTTTTATTATTTTAATTTTATTTTTAATAAGGGACAAGCCTATTTGTTGTGTGTATGGTTAAATTATTAACGGTAAATCGTCATTTGTATATTCATCATTAATTTTATATGTACAACTATGCCGTATCATGCAGTTTTTGTTTCCTCTACAAAAATAAATAATACTAATAAATGGGCTTCTAGTATTTCTTGTTATGCATGATGAAGCTGATAAGAAGATATCCATTCATTCCTACAAATAAGTCGAAGGTTCTATTCTTAATTTTTTGGGTTGAGTGCAAAAAAAAAACTCTTTAATATAGGTTTTGCACATTCCTACAAATAAGTTTCTATTTTTTTAAAATGTGCATTTCAATCCATAAAATTTAAAAAAAAAGTACAAATAAACCCCTCTTGCCATTTTTTTACAAAAAATAAATATAAAAACCCCATTTTAACATTTTTATTCCTATTTTACCCCTAACAGAATGTGCATAAAAGTCCCACACCACATTTCCTATTCTCTATCTCCCCCCTCTAGATAAAACCTTAACAAATGTATAACTAAAATCGCCACAACCACCGAAGATGCCAAAAATAACCTTTTTAATTTTGTCTTCTTCCATTTCACCCACCCCCTCTTCTCCCTCTAAAATTCTCACATTTCTCTCACAAAACCAAACCCAGCAGAGCTACAATGGACTCCACCACCAACACCACCCAAACTTATCACCAATTCTCTCTCTAAAACCAAACCAATCACAATCAGTAGCAGAAGCAATAATGGACTCCATCGTTGTTAACCCACCTCCTCTTGCTCCTTATAACTCTCATCATTCTCTTCAACACCGCCATCTCCAAGTCGGACTCAAACTAAGTAGCCGAGCTCCTCAACCTCCAATCCTGATCTTAATCGGGTATCATCCACCTCAACGGCCAACTCCTTATCCCCTAACCGCTACTGGCATAGACGAAACAGTAGAGGGTGAAGACCCATAACAAAGCATCAATCGGTAGTAGAGAACCCAAGCCCCCAACCACTGCTGGCATTGACAAAGCAGTGGATAACGAAGATTTAGAACAAAGGTTTAATCAACAGAGAACCCAAGCCATCGAAATCGATGAAACAGAGTATTCATCAGCAGAGAACCCAAGCCCCCAACCGCCACCGGCATCAGTTAAGCATGTGCAAATATATATATATATATATATATACATTGAGGAAAATCAGTAGGCAAAATCATATTTGAGGAAAATTAATGAGAGAAGAGAAAAATCTTATTATTAATATATATATATATATATAGAGAGAGAGAGAGAGAGAGAGAGAGAATATCTCAAATTGCCAAAAATAGAAATCAAAGAAAAAAAAACATCTCAGATTGCAAACAAATTAAAATCAAATGAAGAAATACCCAAATCTAACCAATTGATAATATGACATAAATAGCATCAGCAAATAATACAGAACCAGGGATAGGATGAAAATAGTACAACAAGTTTTCAATTTCAGTAAACCCTCAAACAACAGGAAGAGTTTTTCAATATAAAGTTTGCATAAAAAATAAAAACATATAACACATATGATGTATAAAGGGAAATGAATGAAGAAAAAGAAAAAAAAAAAAAAAAGAGAAAGAAATAAGAGGGATCTGGGTTTCTTGAAATGGGGTGAAGTCGCTTGTAGCGTTGCCTTTAGGTGTGACCTTCTTGGTTAGGTTGCCGGTGAAAGCTAGTGCAAGACTTTTAAGCTTAGTGGAAGGGATTTTGTGATTGTTTAGGGGCTCGCCGAACTGTGTAAGCTTCACCGATGGGTCTGTGCAGCCATGGATTATTGTCAGAGAGAGAGATGGATATTGATTATAGTAAAATGACTCAATTAACCCTTAAATTAGAAGTCATATGAGTATTTTTAAGGGTATACTTGTCATAAAGATGTTAGTTTTGTGGTTGAGTTTGGAAATTATCTAAAATTGTAATTTTACGTTGCCTGATTTTTTTTAATATTATCTCATTTTATTGACAGGAGGGTATTATAGTCTTTTTATGCGAACAGGGGGTATTTGCACCAAATTGATAGTATATGGGGGTTTTATACCACACAGAAACTTTTTTGCACTATATCGAAAGTAGAGAGAGGGTTTTTTGCACTTAACCGTATTTTTTCAACTCAAACTATTGACCAAATGGAAGCCCTTCTTGTAATATTTGTGGACTTAGAGATCTAAGTGTTAGCCTAATTTCCATTTTATTAAAACATGTCCATTTGTCTACTCCACTAAAAATTCATAATTATGCAAAAGAGTCTAGTTGGCAATTGAAAATATAAAAATTCTATTTGGAAATATAAAGTTGTTGCAGGGAAAATTGGAAGTTGGCTGGTTGTTATGAATTTTATTTACTTTTTCCCTTGACTTTTGTTTTTGCTTTTTATCATTGCAAAGGCAAAAAGGTCAGGAAAAAGGAATAC